TTTGGATTAAGGATTTAATTGAAGCCTTAGCAACCCCTTTTGTTATTCTTCCTTCCCCTCTATTTCTCTCCCTCATCTCTTTTTCTTTATTGGCTCTGCATCATAAATTTTGATCTCAAAATCCCTTTAACTCTGTTGGAGGAGTCTAATTTTATCGCATACTGATCCTTTACTTGTCTTCTTTTGGCTGATTTTTCCCTTGTTTTAACTTGAATTTTAATCTAAGCCTTTATTACCTCCAAACATTATTTTCAATGTTTAAGTTAAAACTCCATACCGTAGACAAGGACCCCTTTGATACACAGCTCGAATTGGTTATTTACAATGCCAAAAACAGGATAGATCCATTTCCATAATCATAGCATGACAATTGAAGCCATACGCCAACAACTGTATGGACAAAACTAATAAACTAAAACTAAACAGATCTTTCGGCCCTAAGAGACTCAGACAATTTAATTTCAACCCCCAAAAAAAGTGCACACATGCCCCAATCTTTTTCCTAGTTAGTCTCTAATTTCCTTTTTACCCTTAAAAAATTGAAACACAAAATGCCCAGGTGAGAAATGAAAACCCTCCACCACTTCACCTTGGCCAACGGCCATGGCCACCTTTATTTAATTTTTTATTTTGAAACTTGAAAAGACAGAAAAAGCTAATGAGGGAGAAAATGATGGAAGAGAAAAGAACTAAACAAAAAAATTAAAGCGTTAACTGACTTTGAATTCAAATAGACTCACCCTACTTCTAGGTATGGCTGTTATCATGTTCTTGCTTTTTACTTGCTCTATTGCTTGGTTTCACGGGTACATCAAGTAGTAAGGCATTACGCATACCTATGGTGCAAATGATTTTCTGCATTGTAAAGACTAATGCTATAATTTTTTTACCCTCTTTTAACCGTAACCACATGCTGAATAGCAACATGTCTGTGATTTGGCTATCTGTAATCCTCGAGTCGAGACATTGTGATGTTTTAAGTGGCAACTGGGGAAGCTGCCAATCCGAAAAGCAAAGGAACCCATATAACAAGAAACCTTACTATTCTGGTGTCTAACAGAAAATTAATCTATCATTAACTTGCTTATTGAAAACACAGTCATGCTAGAGGAAGGAACCTTTTCTTTTTCAAACAGAACTATTGCAATCGTTCAAGAAACAACCCCATATTTGACAATAGCTAAACTACCAATGAAATTCATCGAATCCAGCTAAATGTATCACAATAAGCAAATGTGGAAAGCATTCACTGCAAAGAGATACAAAATATTATAAGTTTAGAGAGTTTTACCTTTGACAGTGTCAGAGTGGTTTCTTTCTTCTCAAACGCTTCATCTTCTTGCTTTGGCTAAAGCCCACTTCTTTGTTAGACCCATTTGACGCAAGCAAGAACATGAGCACCATCTTGGTCACTAATGAAATTTAAAACCCTAATAGCAGACCCAGGAAGAGAAACGCTCTAGAGTCAAAACGAAAAGAGTCCCCCTAAACCATAAAGTCGATAGTGTGGGACCCATCTGATGACGTGGCAAGATCCAAAACCGTCATTGAAACAACCCCGATGGAATGACAGCCGTCGATTAAAATAACGATCCTACACGTGTGCCACAAAGTGCCATGGATAAACCCATTTATTAAAACCCGCCAAAATTAACCACAACCCAACCCAACAAATTCCCGCCATGATAACTCTCACTCCTAAAACCCTATCCCCTTTCTCATTTCTCTGCAACCCCATACCAAAACACCAAAATCAAAACTCAAAATATACCATTGTAACCCAATATTCAGACTCCAGCTCAAAGCCAACCTTCAATTCCAATTGCGAGTCTGAGTTCCAGACCGAGAGGGGTCTTAAATTTGATATCGGCGAGACCTTCTTCCGCCATGAAAGCGCCACCGGCCGCGACCTCGGCGTGCTCGCCGCAGCGCTGTACAAGAGATCCAAAGACAAATTGAGAGTTCTCGATGCACTGTGCGGCTGCGGAATTCGATCCCTTCGGTACCTCATCGAGGCAGAGGCCGATTTTGTTTTAGCAAATGATGCAAATGATGATAACGGGAAAGTTATCACGGAGAACTTGTCGCAGGTAGAGAGTAGTTCTGGCGACGATCCGAGGTGGGCAGTGACGCTTTTGGATGCAAATCGGATCATGACGGAGTGTTATCTCAAAAGAGATTTCTTTGATTTGATTGACATTGATTCATTTGGGAGTGATTCCTCGTTTCTGAGGTCGGCGATTAATGCTTTGAAATTGGATGGTTTGTTGTATGTTACTTCCACTGATGGATTCTCGTCGGGTGGTCGCAGGCCTCAACAGTAAGTGTTACATCTAATTTCTAGCAATGGGTTGTTTTCAATTCTGTTTGATTCTTTAAAGTTTGATGCTTTGTATAATAACTTGTCCAATTCTTAACCATTTGAAATTACAAGACTTCCTTGCATTTTTCATTCATGGGTTGCACATTCTGCTATGCTTGTTTACCAAAATGTTAATGCATTTGAATCTAATCAAATGCGTTTTGCAATTGAATACCAAATTTATATTTGGATATGATTTTTCCAATGCCATCAGTAGGCAAGTGACAACTGTTTGTTTGTGTCTCTAGAACTTTAGCTGCATATGGAGCTTATGTTCGACCTATGCCATATTCAAATGAGCTTGGTTTGCGAATGCTTATAGGAGGGGCTGTGAGGGTAGCTTCTGTGCTGGGGTATCGAGTTACTCCTCTATTTTCATACTATTCATATCATGGACCCATTTTCAGAGTCATGCTCCGTGTCAATCGAGGAAAGCTTCCTGATAACAGGTGAAGGGGCTGTATGATTTTGTATGCGTCAAGGCTGTGTGATTTATTAGGTCCTTATGTTGTTGCTTACCAGTTAATTTATATTCACCACAGAAATTATGGTTTCATCAGCTACTGCCACAACTGTGGAAGTTCTCAAGAATATTCATGGGCTGAACTTGGTCGGATGAGTTGCCCCTGCAGCGATTCAAAGGTACAAGGATGCGTTTCTTCGCTAAAATTCGCTCTCATTCATGTAGTGGTATGACTTATTTTATTTTGTCAAGTTCCCAAGTTTTTGTTCTTTCTTTTGACTGTGAAATAACCATGTCTGGACTTAAATCTCAAATGAAATATTAACTTGTGTCAGTACTTTCCAGGTTTCCAAGTCATTAGTTGTTTCTGGCCCCCTCTGGACAGGGCCTCTGCATGATACCGTTTATATTACAGAAATGCTGCATTTGGCTGAGGAATGGGGATGGGCAGGCAGTGGCTCGAGAACTGATCTCGACAAGCTTTTGAACCAAATGGTGGCCGAGAGTGACCCCAGATTACCATTTGGGTACACCAAGTTGGACGAGGTAGGTCCTCAAGTGAACAACTTCTTTTCACCACAACTCTTTTGTTCCAACAAGTTATTAATCTTGTAAACCATATTGTAACTGTCAATTTTCTGTCCCAGGTGGCCAGCCGTGCGAAAGTAAATTCTCCACCGCTCAGAGCCGTTATGTCCACCCTTGAAAAGGTATTTCCACACAACTCACTTTGGCAAAGCATTTTGTTGGGATTAGCTAATGGACCAAAAATAGGGCACATGTCAGTAGTGCATGTCCAACAGTTGGAGTTTGGGGGTCGTGGGGCGTGGGGTACGAGTGCATGTTGGTCAATTTTGGGAGCTGCTGGGTATGAGTGCATTGTGGACAACTGGAGTTCTAGGAGCTGCTGGGTATGCGTCTTATTGGAGTGCATGCTGGACATTTGGAGTTCGGGGGCTGTTGTGTATGAACGTTATTGAACCAAAGACTAATAGTCTTGTTGCTGGGTTAAATTCTGTGCAGGAGGGATATGCTGCGAGTAGATCACACATTGAGTCCAACGCAATCAAGACAAACTGTTCAATGGCAGGTTGCATTAGAATTGCTAAGCAACTTCAGCAGTGCTCCAGTGCTGAATGATTTCCAATACCAGGAGAGCAGAAGACGGGGCCAGAAAAGTTGCATCCAATTTTGTAGTGTGCGAACGAGCAACCAAGCGTGGAGGTGTTGATGTTCGAGAAGAAGTGTCGTTGCTGCTCTGATCAGGCTAGAATGTGGATTTTTTTCAGTTTTTATATTCAGAAAAGAGAGAGAGAAGGAAGGAGGGGGGGGGGGGGGGGGGGGGGGGGGGGG